GGAGCTTCACCTACTTTATTGATGACTCCATAACTATATACAGTTGTCTATAGCGCCCCCTCTTGGGACTTACAAAAATATGGTACTATAGACAGGTAGGTCACTTTTAATGTAAATCGCATCGTACTACGTATTTAAAATTGGGCGCCATAGAGAGGGAGGCACTATTTAGAGGGGGCATTATAGACAGGTTTAACTGTATATCTACTGTGTATGTCTACCTAAGTTCTTTTTGGTCAACATACCCACAGCACTACAATATCTGTGTCTTGGGAAGATCATCTCATAAATTGGGGTGTAAAAGAGACTTCAATTATCCTAAGTACTCGTGGTACAAGCCATTATAACGAGCAGTTAATTTGCTTTAAGTGTACCACATGTCCACATAGGTAGAAAGTGGTTCATCTTTTGCCCTCACATAAGGTACCAGAGAGCTTTACTTGATTACTTGCACCCACCCAGTAGAGTTGAAAGTAAAGGAACCATTGAAACTAATTTTTATTTTTCATCTTCAGGAAAAAAAAAAAGTGCATAATTCAGGATTCAATCCCAAGTTATCAACATTTGTATAAATGTAAACCATTACCAGAAACAAATTTTTCGATCCAATCATTTCGCCACAATTGGCTATCTTTGACAATTTATATTTTTTTTAACTCTTAAATATACCATACTACCAAGGTTTGATAGCTTTATAATGGAGGTGGTGGAACATTTTTCAATGATTGAAAGAAAAAAAAAAGTTGAAAAAGTAGAATAGACTAAAGGGAAAACCATACAGACTGCCTATAAGAGGATGTTCCATATCTCTTTAAACCTACCACAGTCCAATTTCATCGCCATATGTACAGTAGAACTACCTCCCTGTTAAGGACACCTAATTGCAGAGCCAAAATGTCCTTTAGGGAGAGGTGTCCTCTTACCAGAGAGTTGCTAAATAGTAAAAATTGTAATTTTACTTATGAAAACTGTCCTTTATAGAGGTGTCCTCTCTATAAAGAACAGTTTTCATTTTCTAAAGTACCATTTTTACTATTTAGCAACTCTCCAGTAAGAAGACACCTCTCCCTAAAGGACACTTTGGCTTTGCAATTAGGCGTTGTCCTTTACAGAGAGGTAGTTCTACTGTATCTCCACTACACAGGTGTAGATTAATTAGATTGGTATGTATGTCCAGCTGGGATTATCTCACACTAAGATAAGAAGACCACACCTGAATTATCTGACCTGGATGGTTGATAAGTGACCTTCCACCCACCTGTCCATCCTCTTATCTTCAGTCAATATGAGAGATCTCTCTCTCTTAATCTAATGAAGTGTCTTGACCACATTCCCTGGCTTCCTCTTCCTTAGCCTCAATTTCTAGATTCCACACACAATCTCTAAATACAACAAATCTCCACATTTCTTAAATACCATACATATCAACCTCAACCCAAATGCAGTTACACTCAAGATTTTTCTTTTAAGGCTCTCAACATCTCTGAGATTAAATTTTTTGAAATATAAAACAAAGATTCAATGATGATAGCAATTTCTAAATACAACAAACACGCAATCTCCACATTCTTTAAATACCAAATATCAACCTCAATTCAAATGTGATTTCGCTCAAGGTTCTTCTTTTAAAGCTCTCAATATCTTAAAGTCAAACAACTACCCACCTCATGTCCAGCAATGGCCGCAGCCTTACAGAAAATTGGCATGGACCCAGAACAGCAGCTTTACACACCCAAGATAGAGGACATTGCTGTGATAGAGATGTATGGAGACATCTGAGGCTCTTCATTGGACATAACATCTCTAAAGTCTACATTTTTGAAAATATAAAACTAGAAGATTCAATGCTTGTTACCAAAATGCCATGTATAAATTACGAAGTATAGATTTACCCACAACTAGAATTCAAACAAGGCGAATAATTAGTGTTGATTCTAGAGGAAGTAGCCCATAATTAGCCAGACTTGGGGAGAAATACACTGAATATATTACAGTGAAAAAAAAACCTGAATGCAAAGAAAAACAAAAAAGGGGATGCAGTTCTTTACATTCCCGAAACCTTCATTACATTACAAAACTTTTTAACTTGGTAAAACAGTTCCAAACAAATCCCTGATGACAGAATTGTCCAAAAATTGGGACCAAAGAGGAATGATTAATTAACATGAGCACCATTATATACAAACTTGTTGAATAGAGATTGACTCCCAACAACCACAACTAAGTAAACAACAGTGTGTATCACGGAAGACTTCCGCCATATAAACTAACAACAACAAGGAGGCAGAGATTCCATCATTAAGTCAGCCAGCCCATTAGCTGCTGGACCTTGGAATGGCAAATGTTGGCTAATTATGCAGAATTCCCTGGAGGTGACAGAGTTGGCGCCAACACCACCTCCATCCAACATTCTCTCTACACCTTACCTTTCCTAGACAACTAAATATAATGATAGTCACATTCTATCACTCAAAAGTACACCACACAACTTCATCTAGTACTAAACTCAATAAAAGAAGGAATATAAGTAGTGCGTGACGTTTCGGTAACCGGGTAAATGGTAACATTGTTACCGAAACATCACACTAATTATTTATTTTGATTTGGTCTTATTACCTTGTGTCTATAATCTATAATCCAAATTGTGCCTTTACCAATAAAAAGAAAAACATGATTTCCAATCACAAGTGTCTAGTGAAAGGTTTGGGATTGCTACACTGGGATGAATCTAACTTTGAATGACTAATCTTGAATTACAAAAACATTATATCAGATTTCACTTGTGGTCACAATACCCCTGTAGAGGGACACCATCAACCTCAGTTTTCACAAGATTATTTAGAATTATAATCCTCTGTATCAATTAATCAAATATAAATCTCTGAGGTTTCTTTATTACACTATTAACGAGTTTACAAGCTTTCGGGTTTTAAATGACCCATCTACAGGTAAAAAGTTTTATAAAAGGTTACCAGAGAGATGTTAAGACCTTTTTATCCATAATAAGAATAGGATCTTCCCTCACTGCTTTCACTTCTTGCTGGACATAACTCTTAGGCAGTATAACCCTCTACAGAGAACAACAGTCTTTGATTTCCAGACTCAAGTCCGGTCATCTACAGACAATGACTTTCCAGAATGGTTGCAAGGTTTTCCCAATATAAGTGTCAACCTGCAACCCCAAAACACATTATTGACTGTATTGACTCATCTATTGATGAGCTCTACTCTTCCCCGGCAGACACCATCAACAAGCTTTACAAGCTTGATACCTTAATATGATTGAGAGTGGAGATAAGAAAGAAGAAGATAACCCTCTACACATCTCAGCCTTTAGCCATTGTAGCATTCAGCTCAAATAGTTGGCGGCAGAATCAACTTGCTATGTAAGCTGACAAAAGGGAACACTTCCTTGAAAAAATCCTTTACAATAGCACTCTTGAGAGATTAGTATTAAGTGAGGGCAAAAAGCAATCCTCACAAGAGCTAGGAATTGATCCTGGAGAAAGTGAAACAACAAGAGAGCTATTTTGGCCAGTCATGAAATGTGGTCAAGGGGAAATCCCAGCAGCAACAATGAGACAACCTTCAACCCAACAATGAGACTTACTCATGGACCTTACTCTCTAAGGATCCTCTTCTGTATTCCTTGACATTGCTGAGTGGAATACAAATTCCCTTGTTCCTTATATTCTGTCTCTCACTAACAACTTAGATCTTTTCAAATTCTGATTATAAATAAAGTATAGCAAGTATGTCCACAAAGTACATAAATGACAGCATCTTGTTATGCTACCAGTCTTGATGAATTCCACATATTAAAATTATTTCCTCACAAGGTAACAGCAAATCCAAATAAAATAAACTGACATTTCTGTAACAACACTGCTACCAAAATGTTACACTATTTATTTGGATTAGGAATCTTGTTACCTTGTATATTTCAAATCTATAATCCAAATTCTACCTTATTATATATCTTTCTATTTATAAGGAGGCAGAATCAATAAAGAGCTCATCTATCAAATTTGACATCAGTTTGGAGAGGGATGTTACGAGGCTAGCAGAAATTAATAACATGCCACACAAGACACCAGTCTCATCCAAATGGGAAAACCCATCTTTTTGCCAAGAGATTGCACTAGTATTAAGACAGTATAATGTTAGAACTTTATATTAATATAAACCACATTTATTTATATCAACACACAAAACATGATATCCCGGCTAAGGATAATTGCATCAATTTACATTTTTAAACAGAAACAGTTATAAACATATTATACAAGAAATAAAAATGATTTAAAAAGAGAAACAATAATTAGGAAACCTGCATTGAGATATTAGCTGTGAAGGTTTAAAATTAGCCTCCAATTATCACTATTAAGTCCCACACAATCCACAATAAAAAATTTATCAAAGTTTTTACAAAGAGAACAAACTTTATTGTATTTGTGGGACAGTGTTTAGTGTAGTCCTAGCTGGGAAAGTTTAAAATCAGCTTTAATTATGGTTATAGTCCCAATCCACAATAATAAAATTTATGAATTCAAAGAAGATATTATTGACATGAAGCTAAATGGAAATCAAAGAATTATATCTTTAGATGTTGAATCCATGTTTACTTCAACCCCTATACTCAAAATTTATGAAAGTTTTAAAGAGAACAGATTTTTATTGTATTTGTGGGACAATGTTTGGTGTAGTTAATGACACAACCACACTATGGAAGAATGCCATCTCAGTCCAACTGCTCCCTGAGGAAGGAGAAAGAAATTAATACAAGAGGAGGTACCATTATGGTGATTACAGTACTTTACTTGATTGACAACCTTCAGCCTATACAATACACCTATATTATAAACCTCATACAGCTTGACATTATAACATATTTTTGGGAGGAGGTGACTTCCCAAATAAAATAATAAGCACATCTGATAAAGCACAATTTGGATTATAGATTATAAACACAAGGTAATAAGACCAAATAAATAAATAGTGTGTCAGGATAGCTCAGTTGGGAGAGCACTAGACTGAACATCTAGCAGCCCCTGGTTCAGGTCCAGGCAATCCACACACTATTTATTTATTTGGATTTGGTCTTATTACCTTGTGTTAATAAACACATCTCTCAAACATGTCCCTAAAAATAGTTTTTCAGCAATTTTCTCAGAAAAAAATATACAAATTTACTTTTACTTTTTTGAAACCTAGGTTGTCAACATGATTACTCACACCTGAAAATTTTCAGCTAAATGGATGTAATGCAAATGAGTCAAGTTTTTGGACAAAATACGATCATTTGAATAAAATCTCATTACAATTTTCAAGGTAGATTTTGATTTAAGTTGATTGTTTTGGTTCTCCTAACTAAATGTATGATTAAAATTTAGCAGTTTCTCTAATACATTTTTTAAAACTTTCAATATTAAATTCAGCGCATTTTTGGCCACAAACTTGACTCATTTGTATTGCATCCATTTAGCTGAAAATTTTAAGGCACAAGTATTCATGATGACATAACCCAAGTTTTTTTTACTTATCCTTTTAGTCTAAATTAGACAAGATCTTGGAGGTCGTGCTCGTAAAGAAGCTCAAAAACTCTTCTTGGTTCTCTGTACAGGAAGATCCTTCGGCCTGCCACTGAGTAGTGCTCCCAGTCTTAATGACAAAGGCAGACGCATTCTACTTCACCCAGTCATGATCTCAAGCTTTACAAGCTTGATACCCTAATATGATTGAGTGGAGATAAGAAAGAAGAAGAAGACAGGGATCCTTTGTCCTTTCCAATTCCATTCCACCCAAGTTTTAAAAGAGTAAAAAAAGAAATTTATTTTCTCTGAATTGGGGGAAAACTCTTTTAATGATATCAGTTTCAATGAATTTTTTATATAGTTTGTCATATTTTTAAAAAATCAGTTCCTAGTGAGAAGAATAAAAGAAAGACAATCACAAGCTTCTATTATACAACTATGGATGAAATAAAGTTTAAAATAAGGTTATATGGCATCATACTTGAAGTCAAAATCTTTTATTTTAGAATCATTGAATATTTAAAAATAAATTTTATCTTTTCAAATATTTTTTTTTTAGTTTACTCAATAAATTGTACAATAAAAAAAAAGATTTCAAATAATATTTAAGTATTAGCGTATGATTCTTTTTGAAATTAAAGAATTTCTACTGTCCTTACTGCAATACATTACAATAATTTTTCCATTGCAGTAAGGGCAGTAGAAATTGTTTAATTTCAAAAAGAATCTTACATGTTTAAAATAGTTTCAAATTTTCATAACTTGAGTGTAGGAAACATTTCTATATCTAATGTTTTCTAGCTGTCTCTAGTATGTATTGTATGTATAGAGCTTATTCCAATTAAAGGAAGCAACCACTAGTGTCTTGAATACCTGAGGCAGTGAGAATAGCTTCAATATGGAGTCTTTCATTAGTTCAGACATTTCTGTGTGCGACCATATTCAGACTAGTACTTGGTGTCTTGTTGCCATATGATCTAAATATCTTTATTAATCAACCAGGCGTGATATATTTGTGCCTATTACAGAGGAAACAAATTAGAATTAAATATTTACAAATTTACATGTATTAATTGACAGTTCATAAAATGTATATAGACAAAGTGGCTAATGAAAGAGAGTTAAATCATTTAGATCAGGAAACAATCAACAATCATCTCCACCCTTGCTGGTCCCAAGCCCGGATGAAAAAGGAGGAGGGGAAGCAGTAACAAGCTCACTAAAAAACCTGGGCTCAGCTGGGCCGGCTGATAGTACCCTGTAAGGGCTCCACGGATACAGGATTAGTCTAGACTCCATGTTAGGAGTGGCTGCACATGGCGTCTGTTCCTCATGTCAGAGGCAGCCATTTCTTTTGGAGCTAAGTCAGTAGCCTGCCACGGAGTAGTGCTCCCAGTCTTAATGACAAAGGCAGACACATTCTACTTCACCCAGTGTTGATATAAGAAAGAAGAAAAAGAAGGGAACAATCAATGTCGCACTTCTGTAAATTTCGGACAGTAATATGACCTAAGTAACCTAATTGAGTTTGACCAGGAGGATAGTGATCCAAACACACTCTACATGCTACAAATGTACCGCTTGTTCAGCAGTACAACTACTCAAATAGGAATGGCAGAGAGAAGATTAACAGCATTGCCTCTGCGCAAGGATAACATGCAAAATCATTCTGTTTTTATTTGGTGGGGGGGGGGGGGGGAGTAAGTCTTAAGAATTTAAGAAAAAAAAGATGCAAGTCTGATGATAACAGCTATGATCACACAAGGTAAAAAAAAAGACCAAATAAACAAACTAAGAAAGAAAAAAAGGTATCTCCTTATCCTGCAACTTTCCAGTTATGAAGATGCCTTTTTCTTTTCTTATGTACCTTATTCCAGTAGAATAATATCACATTTGTACTATTTCTTCACACATTTTTCAAATAAACCAACAAGTGTTTTAGTGATAACATTATGTTTGAAGAGTACTGTATTACATCATTGTTATACCTTCAATATATTTGTTCCTTCTAATCTACCATCAACCATATTGTAGCTTATCAACAGAACTATTGAGAAAAAAAAAATTTCAATTTACACAAGAGCCTTGATAAAACTGGAAGATAAAACTCAACAGAATGTAATACAAATATTAAAAAATAAATATTTGTCCATTTGTCAAAAAAAAATGCTTCTTTTTTTTTTCCTGTTTCACCTTCTTTTGATTTTTTTTTTTTAAATAACATGAAACTAACTTTTTTTTTTTTGAAGAAATGAAAGCAAAAAAATTTTTAATGTTCTAATAGTCAATTTGCAAAACATTTTGATTTCATTCTGTAATTTATATTTTTTTTTTATATCTTGTTAATTTTATATTTTAAAAAGAAAGATAAAAAAGAAATTTTATTAAGAAACTTTTTTTTTCCACCAATTTTTATTTCATTCATACATCTATATAGAAAAATGAGACAAACATAATGCTAACAATATTTTTAAAAATCATAATACTTTATTATAAAATATATAATTATATATAAAGTTTAAAAATAATAATTTTAAAAATCTATATTTGACACTTTTATTAATTTTATTATATGAGTATTTTTTCAAAAATATATATTTTTATTATAATTATAATGTTATTTTCAATATTATAAAATTTGTTTCAAAATGGCTGCCATTGTGTTATAATATATGAGATGGGGAGAAAGATCTATAATTATATTTTTAAAAATAATTATAATAATTATTGAACTATTTTACCTAATTATTTTTTTTTCTCAAGACCTTGACCTTCTTTCCAAAATTTTTCTTGGTAATACATGTGGGGCACCCCCCACTCCCCCAATACTAAATTATAAAGAAATAGGGCGGGACCTTGTAAACATATTTTACTAAAATTTCGTAAATTAAACCATTATTTTTCCATTTTTTAACTTCTCTATAATTTAAGTATGCAGTACTTATAATTTTTACAAAAATTTTAGTCTAATTTGAATGAATATTTTTTTTACCAAAAGATTACAATTTTTTTAAATATAATAAATTTTTTGTGAATTTTTTTATTAAATATCTTTACATTTTATAAACTGAAATGTGTTCAAATAAATTAAGTTTAAAAAATTTATGATAATAAAATGTATTTTTCCAAATTTCCGATTTGAAAAAAAAAAAATACGACTTGTCAAATTTTCGGTGTATTTCGGGTTTTTTTTTCCAAATAAATATCAAATTCTAACTTTTAATATTGTGTTGCTGGGAGAAATTTTCAAATTATTTTTTAAAAATATTTTTTAAGAATTTATTATTTAAAATAAATTATTTGTTGTCTTTGAAATAAAGTGCTATTTCAAATATTTAAATGTTTAAAAATATATATATATATAAATGTTGCTTTTGAAACGTTAGTTTTAAATTTTAAATATTTCATAACTCGTACAAGTTGTCAAACTAAGGGTGGGCTGGGTTTGAATTGATTACTAGGCCTAAATTACCGACCGTTCACAAACAACTCTAAATTTAATAGAAAAATAAAAATTGAACTTACCATGCTTTAACTCGAATCAGCACCTTTCCTTTTTCTAATGCTGGCTCTGGTTTTTTCATTATTTTTACAGATTTTAAACCACCATAGCCCGTAAGAACAATTGCTCTCATTTCTTTAGCCGGTGCCGGAGCAGCTGTTGCTTGAGCTTCCTCTTCCTTTTCTCCATTTGTTTGCGGCTCTTCTTTCTTTGCATCACCTTCTGGTGCAGCTTCATTCGTAGCTTCTTTGTTCTTGTCCTCTCCCATTTTTAAAATATACAAATTTTAACTAAACTACAAATCTGCCAAACAAGGCGTCAAATGCCAGTGTTGCTAATATATAAATAGTATCAGTGGCCACAAAGTGGCCAGAGGATCTTTTTGTTTGTTTAAAAACAGAATATAAATTATTTGAACAAAATATTTTTTTAGAAAATTTAATTTAATATATATTTCTTGCTTTAATTATGTTGAATTATATATTTTATTTTATAAACGAGAATTTCAGATAATTAAATAGAAAATATTTTGAATATAATTGATAAAAAAAATCACCTATAGATTTTTTTAAATTAGTGAATCAAATCTGAAAATGTAATTACAAGTGAATCCATACCTTTTGATTTAATAAGGACATATATAATTTATTCAATAAGAATATATTTGATTTCAACAAAGACATTTTAACTTTTGAGCATTTATAAAAGTTTCATGATTTTTCAATATATTTTTTAATTTTATATTTTAAAGTAAAATATATACATTTTAATGACTAAAAGCGAATATTTTTAATGTATATAGAAAATTGAAGTTTAAAAAAAAAAACATTTTGAAATGTAATATTGAAGCTTTAAAATAACGTTTAAATCAAAATAATACCACTTTCTAGTTTAAAATATCATTATAGAATTAAATAAGTAATATTTTGTGAAGGTAAATTTTAAAAAATCTTATTGAAACTCTATTTAGAGTAGCTTTTATATGTCAATTTTGTTTCTTAAAACATGTTTAAACTTAAAGCATAATAATTTTATGCGATAA